ATATCTAGTTCATTTTTTGAGATTTTTGATTAACTCCAAAGCCATGATTCTCTTTAAAGGGCCCTTAACAAACTCTCTTCAGGAATATAAGGCTAATTTTGAATGGAAGATCACTAATGGTTGAGAAATATTACAAGTCTCCTTGAAAAGCTTTTGAATTTTAGGGTTTGACTTCAAATGATCATAACTTGGTCAATTTTAATCTCCCTGAGCCTATTATTTTTTCACAATAATATTTGGGGTGTCTAATACAACTTTTTTCAATGTTCAAGACTTGAAGGTGCTTGGAAAGTGGTTGAAGAATTGAAAATATTATAGGTCTTTTATGAATTTCCCCAAATTTATTCATCATCTTCCAAAGACCATAACTCCTTCAATTTTTATGATTTTTGAGTGATATCAATTTAACAATTCAATTCAAGAGGTTTACTTCACGTCATCTTCAAATATCAAGTTCAAATTTTGAGTAGAAGGTCATATAATTTTGAAGAACATTATAGGTCACTTTGGAGTTCTATACTTAGAAATTTTTCTAAGTGCAAAAATCTGTGTATTTTTCACAAATTCAAATGGACATAACTTTCAGCACAAGCATCCAAATGGAAAATTTCAAATCACATTGTCAAGCTTGATTATTTAGCTTTCTTAAGAATCCAATATTGTATCATAAAGGTCCCTGAGCTGTTTGCACCATGGTTGTAAAGTTGATGCTTTAAAACTGAAAAATCACTTGAAGTCAGAAGTAATTTTGTGAAATGTGGCTTCTAATCACCAAATTACCACATGTTTTCCACTTAAACATGATTAACAAATATGTCTTACACATTTAAAGTGTCAAAACGCATCATTTGGACGAGTTTTGATGCACATGTGCTCACACTTTTCTCATGAGGCAGGTGTGCACGAATTCAATTGAGATTGCAACATTCACCCCTGATCTTGATTCTATTCACTTCTCCTATAAATACATACCACATCTCACTCATTTTGGCAAGTTTTAGAGAGCCAGAAAACCTCTGTCAAACTTCCTCCACACCTCTCAATTCTGTAACTTCGAATTTGGTTTTAGAGCTCTTTTTAATCCAATTTCTTTGTTCATTCTTCATCCTTGAACTTCACTGAAGCTAATAGAAGAAGAACCAAGTCTTGTAGTGCTCTAAATCGTGCTAGCCAAGTCAAGTTTCAGAGCAATATCTTCATACTTCGTCCAGGTAGTTTAAGGCATCAATTTTTCTAACTCAAATTACTGGAATGGTCTATGATGTTCATTGATGCTTAATGATGGTTTAATTTTGATCAATCGATGCATTTGATGCATCTGTTTTCGATTTAAATTTTTTTCAAAACTCTCTGGTTTTTCTCAAATCGACTAGCTACACTTTAAATAAATTTTTCGGGAGAGTACCATTGAAATCGTCTTGAAGAGACGAAGCGAATGACACCGATCTGAGCTCCTGATTTTACAGTTTGTAAGACCTGCAACTCGCGTGTGGCTAAAGGTTGAAGATGACCAACATGTCATCTCTCAACCAATGACATCGTGCCACCCATTTTTTCAAAACCTGTTTTAAATAGTTGATCTGGTGGCTTATTCATTAATGACCATGATATGCACAGCACGCCACATCCATTGGATTTGATTACTAACGTGTTTTGACATTGATCCAATGGTCTATATCTTTTTGGTTTTATTTTTATTTTCTGGTTTTATATTTTAATTGTTGTAAACTTCAAAATTCATTTTAACTTCTAAAATTCTGAATAAAGTTCTCAAAAATACTTTTGATTTTTCTTTTCTAATTTTTATTTTTTCACAATTTTATTTTGTGATTTGATATTTTTTATGATTTTTCACTTAATTTGATTTGTTTTAATTGTTTAAAAATACTTTTCTTGATTTTTAAATTCTGGGAAAAAATGGAAGGATCCAATGACCTCTTGACAAATATTGGTGACCTCATTTTATTTTTATTTTTGATTTTACTATTTTGCATAAATTTTGGCTTCTTTTGCTTGTTTCTTTAAATTTTAAAAATAGTTTATGACTTTAAAAAATTCTGAATTTTTTTGTTAACACTTATTGATTCATGTTTGACTTCTGATATTTTTTTAGAAATTTTATTTGGTGTATTAACACATTTTGTGTATTTTACCAATTATTACCCTTTTATTGATTATTTAAGTTTTGTTTTATTAAATATTATTTTATTATTTTGTTGATTGGTCCTGATTTAGGTGTTATTTTGGGATAAGTTCCTCAACCTCATTAGATCTTGGGTGTTGATAGGTTGAAAAACCAAATCCACCAAAATGGATTAATGATGTTGATGATATTTGAAACCCTAATTTCATCTGATACATCCCCTCTCTCTTCATCTTACCTCTTTCTTGTTTTTACTTGTGCTACATGTTTTTGGAGAATGATCTACATATCATTTCTATAATATGTTGGTACATAGATTGCTATTGACCAACCTCAAAATAGGTGTGACTTCTACATAAGTCCACTTACGATTGCTTAACATAGCACTAAATTTGTCCTGATTCGAAAAATGATCATTCATGGTCCAAATATATGTTTGCAAGTTCAAGTATGTTTAAATAGAAACCTTTAATTCAATAACTTTGAAGTTCATTGTTAGGTGACTTTGATCTTATCATTCCTTTAATGAACTTCATGAACTTTGGTCTAAGTGAATCATTTGAACATCGTTGGTCATATGTGGTTGCTTTGAGCATTTGAAATGAATGATATATTTGACAAAAAGCAAATGAGACTTGGTGTTGAAAAGCTTTGATTTTATCAATCTTCTAATGCGCTCTCTAATGCAAGCTTCAAGATGGTTATTCAACTAACCTTCTAACTTCTAATTCACTAACAATTAACTTTACTTTATATTTTTACTTTATGCCTTTATTTTACGCCTTTGTTTTTATGTACCATTTATTTTAGCATTTACATTCCATGTCATCTTTCTTTTGCTCACTCAATCATTTATCTTTATGCTATTTTATCTTTGCTCATTTGAGCTTTTTTATTTTATTTTGAAGATACTTAATAATCAACTTGAACAATAAAAGAAAATGTAAAGTTACTTGGATTACTTGGTTACTATCCTTAGTATTATGGAGTTGTGGATCTCTCGGACTTAGGATTAGAAGCCTTGATACTTTGGGACCTCGTGGCTCTGTTGTTATTTTGTCTGAAATTCTTGGGATTTACTCCAAGGTATTGGGTTGTTTTTTCTTTGTGTGCAGGTTATTCTGATTATATGTTTTGTCTGTGATTGAGAATTCATATGTATACAGCCGTTACTTTGCCCAATTTTTGTGAAGACTTAATTCATTTGAAGCTTAGAATTTCCCAGAGGTTTAGTATTTTTACCTGCTTGGTTTCAATCCAAAGGATGGAAATTCTACATTGACTTCATATGTCAAGTGTTGGCTTCTTGTTGGTTAGATTGTTCTTTTCCTTAACTTTTACCTTATGATTTAGGGTAGTCCATTCATCTCCTCCCATCTTTTTTAATTTCAAAAATCTTCTCCCTCCTTTTCAAAACTCTTCTTGTTTCCTAACTTGAACCGCTTTCATAATAAACTTGGACTTAGGTCCATGCATTTTCAAAAAAATCTTTTCTTAACATCAATGGGTTAACTAACCTTCTAACTTCTAATTCACTTAACAATTAACATCATTAAAATTTCTAATTAACATGATTTGAATGATGTTAATTGAATTTCAAGATGGTTAACACTAAAATTCAATTAACATCATTCAAATCATTTTTTCACTTTGTCTTTTTACTTTAAACTTTTCTCAAAAGATTAGGTTCTTGTTGATTATTGTAGTGATGTGAGCTACTATATTTCTATGATATGTAGTGAAGTGAGATATTTTTCACTTGGGTGTTGAGTGAGGTTTTGTTGATTTTAAAATCCAAGCTATATCATCCACTTTGAGATGATGCAAATTCTCCTTTCTCATAATTGTGGGTAGTAAGTATGTTTTCCACTCGGATATGACGATGATGTCTCTTCTCTTAAAATTAACCAACACACATGTGTTTTTAAATTTTTGAGGTAAACTACGAGTACACTGATCTCTTATTGCACGAAAGGTGGTACGTGGGCATTAAAGGTTCGCAATCATGACAGGTGCAAAATTGTAAGAAAAACCGCTTCTTTTCTCATCTTCACCGTCTATTTTTGTATACACCTTTTATAGCCAAAATACACAAATTTTCAAAGAGGTTCTTGGGTAGTACCGCAAATGTTTAGGGTGCTAATACCTTCCATTTGCATAACCAACCCCCGTATCTAGATTCTCTCTCCTCTCTTTTTGGGTTTATTCGTTCTTTTCCCATTTTCTTAAAAAACAATAACGCGCAATAGCGATTTTTATTTTGATTTGTGTAAGTTAAGTCAATCCAATAACTTAGTCTCAACATTTACCTCTACGTGAAGCATTTTAGTTCATTCATTGTAAATAAAAAAATTATAATGTTACAAAAGCAAGATATAAAAAATGCATTCAACAACAAGGAATGTAATTTAGGATTTTCTATTATTGGTTTGTTCTAGTCAAAATTTCTAGTGGTTCTTTGGTTTCTCTAATTTAGGATTTTCAATGAAATTAAAAGAAACTTATATACAAAAAATGAAAAAGCGATAAAACAAAAAAGCTCAAAACCAAAGTAGTTTAGAATTGTTCAGCCAATGATAAAATGTTCACCCATTTACATTTATAAAATAAGTTCAAATATCTCCATATATCGTCCAATTTTGGAATAAAAAACTTTCTATCGATGGGTTAAAATTAAAAGTATAGGGTGCGAAATAAAATTTTGAAGAATATGAAATCATTGTTTGGCCCAACCAATAGCCCAAACACAAGAATCTCCACTTTATCTTCATCTTCTTCACAACCTTCCAACGACTCAACGCAACCAACAACACCGCTACAATCAAATTCCGACACAAGAAATCAAAACTATCCAAAAATGTCAGGCGTCGGACCTCTTTCACAAGACTGGGAGCCCGTCGTTCTCCGCAAGAAAGCCCCCACCTCCGCTGCCAGGAAGGATGACAAAGCCGTCAACGCCGCTCGCCGTTCCGGCGCCGATATCGAAACCATGAAGAAACGTTGAGCATCTTCCCTTTCATTTTTTCAATAATTTATTTTCATAAAACCCTAACCCTAGAAATGTTGTGTTCATTTTTGGATCGAAGCGTTTGAGTCGTTATTGCTCTGTTTTGATTCTTGATTATGAATTGATCTTATATACTGAGTTGTTGATTCTAGATGTTTCTGATTAGGGTTTTTTGAGGTTTTGTGTTTTGAGTTTGTTTATCTGTCGATATGGTGTGTTTGAATTTGATGATGGACTCTTGATTGATGGATTATCGGTATTGTTTTGAATAGTTTTTGTGCCGGTGGATTTTGTAGTTTTGAAAGCAGTTTTTTGTGCAGAATGTTGATTGTGTTGGGTTGTTCTATACAGATAATGCTGCGACGAACAAAGCTGCGTCTAGCAGCACTTCGTTGAACACTAAGAGGCTGGATGAGGATACAGAGAATTTAGCTCGTGAGTTTTCGGTTACTCTATTGTTCTATACAGATAATGTAATGTTTTCTTCTAGTGTAGTTCAATCTCCCCTTCAATAATTGGTGGAATCCCAAAATCCGCCATACAAACATGCCATTGCAGCCTATGCAGACACCTCTTCTCAAATTACCAGCAGGTGTCGAGAAATTCGCCACCCCGGTTCCCCATACCCTCCATTTAACAACACTGATTCAGAGCTCATGATACTAGTGTCTTCTATAATAGTAGTCGCCATCCTAAGCAAATTTTTCATGCAAATTGGTATTCTATCTTTGTCTGATATTCTATAATATAAATTAATGAGTAGGTAGTAGGTGAATGTGTGATCTTATAATAGTAATTACAAAAAATGCATCTCAGTGTACAATGTACATCTGTTACTTGTGGTTTACTTCTGTTTGTCGAATGATGAAATATAATTGTCTACTGATCATCACTTCAAATTTTAATTTGTTTACAGAATGCTTTGTTTATCATTAGCAAACTAGCCCTGCTATTATGCCAGTGTTAGATTTCTTGTACTAAAATTACCCAAGCCATTGACTAGAATTTTCCGTTGAGCCCATCATCTCCCTTCTATATGAGTCACACTTCTTTCTACTTTAATGCTTATATGTAGTATGGACTTGTGTGTGCAGATGATCGGGTCCCAACTGAACTCAAGAAAGCTATAATGCAAGCCCGGACGGACAAGAAACTTACTCAGGCGCAACTTGCTCAAGTATTGCTACCAACTTCACCCACCACATAGTTTTGTGTTATAATTTCGTTATTTGATGAAGTTCGATATTAATAAGGAGTATGTTTGCTTGCAGATTATCAATGAGAAGCCTCAAGTGATCCAGGAGTATGAATCAGGAAAAGCCATTCCAAATCAGCAGATAATTGGCAAGTTGGAGAGAGCACTTGGTGCCAAACTGCGTGGGAAAAAATGAGGAAAAACTAATCTGATGGCTGTGTATGTAGTTGGATCTATTTTACACTGTTGAAGCTAATCTGACGGCTGTTATGTAAGTTGGATTTATATATTTCACTGTCATTGGTTGCTTGCTTTTGCATGTATATGCTTGAAGCTTTTACCTGTTCAAACTTAATGATGCTGTTTGGTAAATAAAGTTGTATGTGAACTAACTTTTGACATCCACATGGGAATGGACATACAAAATTATAAATTAGTTTTTTGTTGTTTGAGTATATATAGTTCATTTTTTTATACTGTTGAAAGCTGGTACAATTAAATCAAAATAGAAATTTCGTGTAAATATATATTTTGATTTATAAAATAATCTGTATCACTTTATATTAGTACAGAAGTAAATAGTTTTTTCCAATTACTCATCAATTATATAGTCTACTAAACACTTTAATTGTTGCTCCATCCAACTGTCTTAAGCTAACTGTTGCATTTGCAAAAATCTTTTTCTTTCAAAAATTAAGCATACATTATACTTTCATAATAACATCTTCCATATGACCGACAACCAAATAATGTTAACAACCAAGTGTAATTTTTATGAGTTTTGCCACAATTTTTCTATTTTAAGTTGTGGTTGTCTTTCATTGTAACATCTTCCATTGGACACAATCAAATAATGTTAACAACCAAGTGTAATTTTTTCCAATTTTGACACGATTTTCCTATTTTAAGTTTTAGTTAGTGTGCAATTTCTATTTTTTCTAAGTTTCATGCTTGTCTTTTTGTAAGCAGCCTAGAGTATTCTTAGTACTCTTTTTCAATGAATCCTACTTATAAAAGAAGTAATAACATCTTCCAAGCAACCCATTTATAACAATATTTTGTTCTACAATAATGTCTCGTTTACTTTTTAATAGAATTAGTATTTTTTTCCAATTATACTATTTAATTATTATTATTTTTATCACTTCCTATTCAATATATAAATAGTTAATACTTATGGTAATAATAAATACATCAGGAATAATAAGTTTAATAAAAAAATTATTTGAATTGAATTATTTACATCTTTTTAAAATTATTTTCAGCTGGCTTTTATCAGCATAATTGAGTTAATTTGGAGAATATAACAGTGCAAATGTGGAGTTTCTCCATTTCAATATGGTTTTGAAGTAGCCCAAGAAATACTGCATAATAATTACTAGTATGTAGGGACGTACATTTAGGTCAAACTGCAAACCCGCTGGATGAAATCAAATTGGAGGATTTTTGGTTTGCTTTATAGTTTTTCTAACGCATCACGTGAAGTTACAAATATGTTCTTGAAAATTAGAAATACATTTTTAAGACGCATTAAGATTTGATAAAATATAAGTTCAAATCAAAATTTAATTTTCGATTTGTATCCTCACTTACATTTCTGATTTTCTGCTACACTGGAAGTAGAAAAACAACATTGAAAAATATCAATTTCACAAATTCAAAATACAATTCATACCATAACATATGTAACACATTAGGGATTGAAATATACATCAAACATTACACTTCAACGTCCATGTGGACGTTGCAACATCATGATAATATCATCTACCTGTTGGACTGTGTAAAATGCAAAAAGATGTAGCGATAAAGATTTGAAATTAAGTCATTAATTGACTTATCTCACTCAATAAAGTCGTCACCGTACTTTATTGTTTCCAAAGGAAAATGAGAAAAAAACGAACAAAACCTAAAATGAAATGAAAGATCATAATCAAGATACAGAGGTCGATTATGCAAAGGAAAAATATTAACACCCTAAGCATCTACGGTACTCCAAAGGATCCACTTTTTTCCCTAATCGAATAGTGTGTTATCTAAAAGCTTAAACTTGCTAAAGGGAATGAATGAATGGATATTTACAAACAAAAGAAAATGAAAATGTTTTTATTATTTTTGCGCCCGCCTTTGATCGTGAGACCTATTGCCTACGTACTCCCACGTGCAATGGGAAAGTCATAGCACCGTAGTTCAGTTGGAAAAGAATAAATCTGTGTGTTGGTTGATTTTAAATGAAGAGATAAATCGTCATTTTTAAGGAGAAGACTCGTCTAATCGCCCATAAGGTATGAGAAAGAGGGGGGACTACGCACTAACATGAGGGAGGGATTGAGAACACCTCTAGTACTCAAGTAGAAAAATCGACAATCATGGAGATAGACGAATAACATCTCGATTATAAATGAATCATGTCTAATCTTGAAAAAAAGTTTTAAAGGAGAAAAGGAGTGCGAGGGCACAAAAAAGTTTGAATGAGTTGAAGTATTTTTGTTGGGATAATAGCAAATGGATTTCCTAGGAGGAACACTTACTACTTCTCCACTTATTTGTGAAATTTTTTGTGAATTGAATCGTAATAAAGTCCGAAAATGGAAAAAAGAACAGAGTTCGATCTGTACCGCCTCATCCTATCCCAAAAGATTCAACTGCATACGCTTCACATATTTATTTATTAAGTGTTTTGCATTTTGAGAAAGAAAAAGAAGTTTGAAAAGAAAGTCACTCAACACATTCGAGGTTAATTGTGAAAGTGGTTCGAGTTTATAAACAAGAAAGTTTTGAAAAAGATAAGGTGGTTTTGAAAATTGAAGAATGAGAAAGAGATGGAAAGAGTATGCTATGTACAAGAAAGTAAAAGATAAAGTGAGAAAGGTCTAACCAAACGGAAGCTCAAACTTTATATAAAGAAATCAATAAAGTGTTTCCATCCCTTTGGATTTAAAGCAGATAAATAAGCCAAGAGTATATCAAATCTCAGGTGAAAATAAATCACAGGCAGACAACATCAAAGAAACCCAAGGCGTCAGATAAAACTCAAAGCATCAGATAAAGCGCATTAGGTGAAAATAAATCACAAGTCAGGACAGTGCACCAGGTAAGCTCAAGATGTCAGATAAAGCATAAAGCATCAAGTAAGCTTAATGCTTTGGATAAAAATCACTGTATCAGATAGAAATCCAGACAAACAGACAAACAAGATAACAAAGAAATAGTCCACACATCTCATATGAAATAAAAGATCAAGTCTGTGCGGACTAGAAACCTATATCAAAGCTAAAATGAAATAAATAAATAAAATATGAAAAAGATGTTTGATTAATTAATTAAGAATTGATTAACTAATTAATTGAGTTAAGAAAAATGGATTAATAAACTAATTCATTTTAATTAACTAAATCAAGTAACTAAATCAACATCTAATTAATTAATCAAAGTGAAAAGATAAGAAAAAGAGAGAATCAATTAGTTAAATATTGATTAAATTAATTAATTGAAGTTAAGAAAAATAGATTAGTAAACTAATCTATTTTAATTAACAAACACCAATTAATTAAAACAATATTGAACTAATGGATTAAAGTGAAAATAGAAATCGGGAGTAGAATAGAATTGTGAGGAGAAAAGAACTTAGAACTCTTGTAAGCTTGCACAAATCAACAAACAAATTAATAATTACAAGGTATAAAATCGATACGAAACTTACATGAATGCCTATGAACAAGTGAATATTTTCCGATTAAGAACCAATAAAACAAGTTAATATTCAATATAAATACAAAAAATCAGCATTGCGTACATTGTGCTAAACACATTCTAAATCAATGGAACACAACGGTAAACAATGGTTTAAACCATAGACGGAAACCGAAATCAAGAATTCATGCTATTACTTCTCATAAACCCACACAAAAAATCAGCATTCAACACATTGGTTCAAGTGTATTCTATCAAGTAAATCCAAGAGTAATCACTATTTCAATCCACAATAGGAATAAAAATAAAAAATTCACATTGCAACATGAGAAAATGAATTCAAAATATATTTTAAACCCTTGAATCAAATTCGGGAAGCAACTATTCATATGAAACAAAGGTCAAAAAAACTCAATCTCAAACATGTTTAGCGCAAAAGGAAACAACAAAGTAATACCAATCGAATCTTCTTCAAGTTGATCAAACAACATGACATAACCATAAAACTTCGTTCAACATTAATCACCACAAACTCAACAACGATATCACAAAACAATCACCCCATATCGACAAACCAACAACTTCATCATTTTGAAATAAAAAAGAAGTCACGATTCAAAACCAACACACAATAAGTTAATGATATCAAGACATTGCTCAAAATTGAGTTCAAACAAATCGACACCAATAACCAACAATTATATTATCCTCATCAATCAATTCAAACACAAACAATCTCCACAAGGTTAACACAAACTCATTCAAAATAACACCACAATATGATAACGATATCCACATTCCAATTACCATATTAGCATAGAATACAATCTTGACATCAAAAACTCCAATATCCAAACTAAAATCAACAACACAGTAACTTCATCACAAAAGAAGAATTAAACAACTGTTGGTAAAGTAAAAATAGAAAAAAAAAATACTAATTGTTGCTGAAGCTGGACAGAAACTGGGAGTATGTATGCGTGAGAGTATGGAAGGAAACAAGGGCGTGAAAGAATGGTTGAACAGGACTGAGAGATGGATGGTAGTCGATGGAATTTTAAAGATGAAGGGTTCGTTTTTGCCGCTGAGAGGATTCGAGATATCTTTTTTCTCTCCATCTATATCCTCCTTCTATACTATCCACACCAACAAATCCTATCCCAACTTTAGGTTTAAACAAATGACCCAAAAGCCTCTCCTTATATTTTGGAGATATTTACTTGATAATAAAAAAAGTAAAAATATTGTTATTAAAATATTTTTGTGGTTTTTTCTAATTAATTCAAAAAACAAACAAAACAAATTATATAAGCATTTCTTTATATTTTTCTAAATGGACTAATAAGAACTAAAATTTAAATTAAATGAATGAATAAATACAAATTTTTTGATATTTTCTTAATAATAAAGAATAATAAAATATTAATATCTAAAGGAAAATTTTGATAAAGCTTTAAAGCGAAAAATAAATGTGAATATGCGGAGAAATGCAAAGATACGAATACAAATTAAATAGATATAAATGATGCGAATGGGGAAAAAATTCTGGATAAAATTTGGGGTGCAACACTACCGATCTCGAAATAGTCACATTTAGTTCGATCGAAACTTTTGCTTCAAAATAGATAAAAGTATTCCACATAACTTGTATATTAACCCTGTTCTTCAGCTAACAGTTGATGAACTCAAGCTTTACATCTTTTTCAACGGATGACGAGCGGTACTCGATCTTTACAACTTTGCGATTGTCGCCATAAGGTAGTAGGTCCTACAATATGTCTTGCAGATCTTCAAGAAGAGTGTACTCGGTGTCTTAAATTCTCGTGATGATGTATTACCGGTGAAGTGGACATTTCCAACACGCCATTTGATGTTCATTCTGGTTTTTAGTGTTTTGGTATGAAACAATATGCCAAGTGAGGTTATTTATAGTAGTTGAAGGTAAACACGGACCTTACAAATCCTATCCTGTGACAGAGTGTAAATCAGACTTCATTTCCGGTTTTACCTAAATATGTACCGAAAATATATTTCTGGTAAGTCCCTTGGGACTAAAAACCAGAACTGAAACAGAAGCATACATAGAAATAAAAGCAAAAACCTCATGTATTGAAAGATGGTATTTTTGGTCAAATGGGTATATTCCACAGTATAATACATTGACAAAATGACATATATAATAAAATGACACCTAACTACTTAAATGATCCGAAATAATTATCGCCGGCCAAATTCACTGGTGTTACCCCTTTGATTTTTCCCAATTTTTTCTATTTCAATTTTGTTCAACTTGTTCTAGTCTAGCATCCTTTTAATAAATTGGTCCGGCTAGGTCTCGAAAGGGATTGTGTAATGATTCGCTCACTCCAGTGACGTAAGTGGTATTGGACATCCCGATTTCAAAAATACTTGAACAAAGTTCCGCAAATTTGAAACCCACCCAACACATATGATACGATCATTGGGATTTGGTGGTGGAGTAGTACGCAGTGGGAATTTTTTTTGAGAAACCGTATCTTATAAGATTAATACCCTTTCTCTCATACGCACTTGCTATCAGATGACCCATCTCAGAGAAGCGCATCCATTTTTTTCTCCGGTGCAAATCCACTGACGCAAGGTACTAGCACGTCATAAATCACTTCAACTTTTTCATTAGTCCCAAGCACACGTTTGTATAATTCTATGTTGCTCCTTCACTCTCGAATAAGAGTATCTTAGACAATATAGTGATCCTCTTCCCCTTTATCGAGCAAACGCAAACAACTCGAAAACCACAGTTACCGTCACCCCTGACATTGACAATTCGTTCAATGTACTTATGCATAAAAACTGGATTCTCCTCGATGAATGGTATTTTTGATGGAGTCGGTGTAGGAGATGGTTTGCTAATACAGGCTCATTTGAAAACACTTTTATGAGATTTCAGAGTAGGTGAAATGGGAAAAACTTTGTCAACATGTTCAAAATATGAAGGACTCCTCGTTGTTGAATTGTCCCCCGATGTTGGTTTCACCTTCTTATGTGCCCTTTAGTTTTTACCGATTGAGATGGTGGTTTCAAGTCTGTGGTCTCCGGGAATGTAATCTTCCTCAATTGCTCTTTGATGTGGAGTTTTGTGGCGTCATCGGCTTTAAAAAGTATTTCTTGTCTTCCCATTCACTCAAGATAGAGATGCTTGATTTATCGTCTTTCATTTTATCGTCATCTTCAAAACGGAGTCTCTTCTAATGATTGGAGACCTCGTCCATACGTATCGGGCAATCAACTTTCATCTTCTTAGATATGACATAAGCACAAGGGAGTCCATATATTTTCACAATTGTGAAACCACACTTTGAGCTGTCGAAACCTACATTAGAAGCTCGTTTGGCTTCGTGAAAAATATAATTCAGAGCTGACCAAGAGATGTTATCAACCAATTGAGAATATAGGGTGTTGCCTTTGAACCAGTGTTCCAACACCGTGATACTACGACCAAATGTTGTTTGTATCTTATTTGCTTGTTTAGTATCATATGGTTCACATAATCCCATTCCGTAATCAAATTACCCTTGCTATTTCCCAGCCAATTCTTCAGACATGCATGAGCTGACTCAACTCAGTTTGTTGTTGTATTTCTGAGATGCATAACCTGATCAGTCCAGGCACAAACAATCTTCTTCTTTGCCTGATCCAATATTTTTATTTCAACATATTTCAATAGATTGGGATAGCTCACGTAAACCTTCCTGAAATGTAAAACACCATCAACATATAACTCTTTTGTAGATGCATTTATTATAACATTCCACGCATCCATAAATTTCTCCATAATAATGCCCCTTGAGCAGTTTTCCATTTTCATCTCTAATATGTTTTGTCCATACCGCGGATTTAACCCGACTTCTCACATTTTTAGTAATATAGTACCTACAAAGTAGTTCATAAGAAGTGGGACATATTGTTGCAACCGAATTCATTAATGTTGTATCTCGGTCGGTAACAATGATTTTTGGCATATCTTCTTGGTCCTTCAACATTGACCGACAAAACTCTAAAGCCCATGTAAAATTTGACCTCTTTTCCGCACTCTAGAAATTCAAAACCAACTGAATACGTCTTCAGTCGACGTAACTGTAAGAAGAAGATTTGGATATGTGTTTCATCTCTAAGTTTTGATGATAACAAGCATATATTTTATGCAGAACAATTTTAGTTCTAATGGTTTGTTTGAGTGTACAAATACATTATTAGTATTCTGGATGGTCTTAATCAAGATATTATCAGAATCACTTCACCACTTAGAAGAAGAACCATTAAGTTATGTTTCTAATGCAACATAAATAATTTTATGAAATGTTGAATGTCCGACAAGAAAAGAATCTCAACGAGTGTCCATGAAGAAAGAGTTTCTGATAAGCGGTTGCTTCTAGATCAGAAATCAAGAGGAGATAAGAAACAAGCTTCCAATGCAGAAGATTAGAAGTCAAGACTAGCTCATTAGAAAAGTTGTTACTTATAATTCTAAAGACGTTGTCAAGATTCTGAACACACACACACACAGATATATATATATATATATATATATATATATATATATATATATATATATATATATATATATATATATATATATATATAAGATATTCTGGACTCATTTCTAATCAACATCACAAAAGATCAAAGGATGATATCTTCTCAAGCTAATCTACTCAACAGAAGTAATATTCATAAGAAGACAAATATCATTAGAAGTACCACTGCACTCAATAGAAGAACTATTGAGACTATTTCTATAGAAACATCAGTAATTCTAAGGAATGTTGAATGTTCATCAGCAAGGGAATCAAGTATGTTCTCAGGAAAGCGTCGCTCTCAGATCAGAAAACATATACGCTTCCAAAGAAAGAAAAGAATTCATGATCAAACAACAAAGATGTAGCTGACAATAAGTTGTTGCTTTCAACTCAATCCAAAGATCAGAATTCAAGGGATCAAAAAGAAGGAATTCAATGTCAAAATCAGATGTACTGACATATGTTGTTACTTCAGAAATCAGACATCAGACATGCACCTTAGATAAGCTGACTATCAAGAATCAAGGATTAAATTTATGAAGTCAAGATCAGAAAAGCTTTCGCTCAAAGAAGACATTGTTCATCAAATAAGTTGTTGCTTACATATTTGGAGACAATATTCAATCATGTGAAAGATTCTGACTATACTACAATGAAGCATCTTCTGAATCACTTTCACCATCATATCAGAATCAATCCAACAAGAAGAAGAGAAGACAAAGACAAAGATCAAGACATATCTTCCAAGCTTACTACTTCAAGTTAGAAGTAAATCATAAGAAGATAAAGTCTTAAGAAACTTAGCCACAAAGTTTATAGTACAGTCAATACGTCTAAAATATTCCACTAAATGCTTACATATTATACTATGTTATCTCCCACGATGAAATACAACCGTTACTATAGCTGGAAAGTGAAAGCGACGTCTTTGTACTACCAACAGTCTTATTCTCAAGTCTATATAAATAGACCTCATCAATATTTGAAGATCGACAAACTATCAACTACTATCACGCTAAAATCAAATTGTTGAAACACTGAAACATTAAGAGAAAAGAAGAATCACTATTCATATACATATACAAATATTCTTCTAGAGAAATATCAAGAACACAAGAGCCGATGCTCGTTATTATGTTAAGATATTAGGGATTAAACATAAAGAGTTATTTCTCATTATTTGTGTGTTAATCTTAGAGTTCTCGACACAAAAAGTTATTACTTATTATTTGTATTAGAGACTTTGTTTTTCATTATTGTGTTAATCTGCTTATTTAGCAGCAAACATTATAAACACAGATGATTGTAATTATGTTAAGAATTAATTATTACCTTGGTGGCTAGGTTGTTAGTCTGAGACTTGAGAGGGCTAAGGTGTCAGTTTGGACTCTTAAAAGGTTATGGTTAGTCACCGGCGGGTAGCCCGTGCATTTGTAATATATTGAGATTAGTAAATTAAGTTCTTGTTGAAGGCGAAATCCCATGAGGAGGGTGAATAGAAGTAACATAGTTAGACGTGAACCTGGATAAACCAAAGTGTCATTTATAGTCTTTTATTA